TAATTATAAATTTGTATGGTAAAAATGTAGGAGAAAAGATATTTTAAAATAATGTTGTGTTAATAAAATACCACAAAAATAAAACAATTTTATTTCTGCTTTAAAAACTAAAATATTTTAGTTTTTTCAATAAAAATTTATTATTAAATTATTTTTACTAAAAAATAGATTATAATAATTAGAAGTGTATATTTTATAATATTAATTTGGTTGAGCATGTGCATCTCGTGTGGCAGCTAATTTGGTGCCATATAGGTCCCAACTTAGATTTCCGTTAGTTTATTTATTTATTTATTTTTTTGGTTTTCTGTCCGTTCTGACTAATCCGGATTGACCTGCGTCACACACCTAAAAATAGTGGATGAGTTTTCCAATGAAAGCTTCTGCATACATAAGATCTCGAACTCAAGAATTTGCTTAAACTGAAACAAACAAACCACTTACCACTTAATCCAACTCCTCGTTGATTAGATTTCCGTTAGTTTATAACTGCACCTTGTAGACTAGACCAACGTGATATAATTTTGAAGGTTAATAAATTAGGTAGATGTATAAACCATTGGTAATATTTGTATAATTTTATAATATAATTTTTATACATTATTAAATAAGTAAAAATATAAAAGTACAATAAATATATTTTTTATAATTAAATTACATAAAAAAATAAAATTTAACTTTAATTTTAATAATTAACTAATTAAATTAAGACACATAACATTAATACTAAAAGTAATATCAATTTTTATTTTTTTATATAAATTAATAACTAAAAATATATTAATTATATTTTTAATCTCTACTCTAAGAAAATATGTTAGAAAAAAACTTAATTTTATTAATGACACCGCATGGATAATTATTCTCGGTCCATTGAGAAAATTCTAGGGCTGGGCATTTTTTAACCGAACCGATTGTTTACTTGAAAACCGAACCAAAAAAATGAATTTGATTTAGTTGCAATGGTTTTTGGTTTTATTTTTTCGGTTTTGGTATTAACCAAATATATTTTGGTCCAGTTTTAGTTGAGTCTCTTAAAAATTGAAAACCAAAAATAAAACCAAAATTAGGATAAAATAGATAAAATATATTAAAATATGATAAAATATAACAAAATATAATAAAATATGTG